TATTTCAATTGCAGAACGCCTGCCGCTGGAAAAATAATATTTGCGTGAATAAGATAATATTTGCGTCTATATATTGTTAAATGATTGATTTTTTTAAGCTAAGTGGCAGCTTCAGATTTTAAATTTATAATCTACTATTGGATTTTGTGCACAGACTCGGCACTATAATGTCAAACGCGATTAGTTGAGCACGTTTATGGACGTCAAGCGGACATATATGGCGCTATATAGGAGCCCTCGTCTGGCTCATGTGTTCTCCATCCTTGAAAATTTTTAAGTGGTCCCAGCCTCTTCTCCGTGTACTCCTTAAGGCCATGCGCCAATTATCGCTGATTATTAGCCCATTATGTGAAGTTTGCTAATATATATTAGTGAAAATAGTTTCATTTGTGGACGGTGAGTCAAATATTTCCATGCTCAATTGGCAAATGGACCCCAAAGCTCATTTACATCTGGAAAATAATTTACTTGATAATTAAGGGGCTTGAAGTTTAACGGTGTGCGCCTAGTTTTTTTATGTAATTTAGAAATTTATTATTTACTATGAACGCATTAGATTTCATGCGAACTCCTTTATTAAATTCTTCATTCAACCATTTTCTACGATAAAGGCATTTGTGTATAGCACCCTTTTAAGTTTCTGCCAATTTTAAATTTGTGTTCAACGAGCTTGGCAGAGTAATGTACAATGCTGACATCTATGGAGGGCCATTGTCAGGTATAGAGGTCTTGTATGTACACTCGCTGCTGCTGACCTGAAACATAGGCAGGAAATGTTCGAGGTGAGCATACAAATAGCTACGAAGATACAGAAATATCTACAAGTTGGTTGTCCGTGTTTTAGGAAATCAATGATGTTGGCATTAATGATGAGAAGATGAAAATTTCACGTTCCCTTTCTCGTCCTGATTACATGTTACATTTCTACAACTTACAATGCAATATCATTCCGATTAGTCTGTTTTCATAGTAACCGATCTAGAAAACATAATGCCCACTCTCGAACGAAATTGATTATTCTTTGTAAAAATGTAACAGATTCGATTGAGTCGGTCCCGTTTTGTCACTTGAGCGAAAAGGCGTCGCCTATAGCACTTCTACTCAACTAATATTGATAACTCCAGGAAGTAATATTAAGTAGTGCTTGCTGCCTATCTGGCTCATTCTGGGATGCTGGCGATGTACAGTTGGAGACAACTTTTTACTTGCTCGAGTTTTTCAGCGATGCTCCATAGCGATGTTGTGCGAGCTTCGTCGTACCTGAGACCCTCGCAGCTGCACGTAACGAGGTTATAGCGTCCCTCGTTCATCAGAATAGCCAAGTTCGCGGACTGCGTTTTTTTTTCGTAACAAACTTGGCAAATAGCATTTATGTGATCTACCTTCCGAATCAATGTGATAATATATGATTGGTTGAGCTACTTTGAACTAAAGTTTTGCACGTGTATGTATTTGTTGATTTCTGAATTAGCCAACTAAAATGTAAGTTAATATTAAGAAAATTCTATTTATTGGTGACAGTCGAATGACTTTTGAAACATTGAACCATCTTGTAAGTTTTCAGCGATCGCGGTCAAATTTTTTAAGTATGCTGAAGCTCAGGGTTACACGAAATTAACAAAATATTACAACATAATTTTTGTTGAACTTATTAGCCTATTAGTCAGGTTATTTCTCTGCCAATGTTTTTTGATGACGTTTGATTGTAGTAGTCATGATGTGCAATTCTTTTCTGACTCGTTGTTGTTAAGCCGAAACTCGATTTTGTACTTGTGTTACTGAATGAAAGGCTTGACTAGCTTTGATCAATGGCCTGCCTTGCAGGCGGTAGGTTGAGGGCAACCACGTATGTGTGAGCGAAGGATGTGTGTGTGTATGTGTGTGCGTCTATGCGCAGTCTGAATGTGTGGCTGCGGCCAGTCTCGCGTGACCTTCAGCCGCGGTAGCATTGGTCAGTGGAGCGCCCTACTAACTGCTACCGCCTCCCATCCAGGGCCACTTGCCTGCCTCAGCTTCTCTCACCGCCTACGTCAAATCCTTGCTCTCCGTTCGTACTCATGTCCTGATTGTTTTATTTTATCTATTTTTTTGCGATCCTTAAGCCTCGTCTGTGATGGTTTGCATCTTCATTTATATCAGTTAATTCTTATTTTATGTTCTTCTGTATATTACGCAAACTGTGTGACTAAATTGAAGGTCTGGATTGATCTTGTGCCGTTCTTGGAAAAAATATATGCTTATGGCTCGTGCCTAGAAATTTTTATATTAATAAGCAAAGACACCTGATGCAGAGCTAAGAACTGAACAGATGTACGGTTGTTATTGGTAAAACGGTTTTCCCAACTGCTTCTGAAAGAAATGGAAGTTCTATGTTTAAATTGTTGATGGTTTCGAAATGCTAAACAGTGGCTTCTACTACGTTAGGTGAAGTTTCGATTTTTCGTGCCGGTGAGTTCGAAGTTTAAAATTAATCACGTTTTCTCCATTCAGTGTTTCAAAGCAGACGAGTTTTGAAAAAAGTACGAGTCTTCGAGGCAGAATGGTTTGTTATTCAAATTTGTGTCAACTTTTTAGAACAATCGCTTAGTCCATCTGACCGTTGCGCAACGCGTAAGATTTGGCACGTCCTGGAAGCAAGATGTGTTACTCAACGGTGATTGTGAAGAGTTTGCCTTGTGTAGTGTATTCATTAAGCTGAGAACTCGACACTGTAGGGGTGATCATGACACAACGTGTGTCTCTAGTTCATCAGACATGGGTGTGGTCCAGTGCCTTACATGCTATCCAGCCACGAACTTCACTTATGTCTTTAGCGTGCAATGGCCTGCTAACAGTGTTTGCTTTTACCATGAATTTTTAGGATGTTACATTATTTGTACATGTATCATAATTAGAAAGATAATTTTGTAGATGTGTATATTTGGTATTAAGGCAATAATTAAGTGAAGAGTTTGAACTACCGTTCTGTTTTGAAGCCATAAATCACGGATATTTTTATTATTCTCCAGATTTTGAATATGAATGTATACTTCTCAGCACTGACATTTTTCTTTTAAATATTTTGCGTGTCAATATTATCCCCAAAGTTATATTTTACAGTAGATTTCAGTGCTGACTTTTCTGAGGATTCGAATCAAGTTTTAGTTATAACAACACTTGCAACAATAAACACTTGATAAGTTTCTAAAATGCCGTGAGTGTCGGATAACCGGGAACACGAGGGTAGCTTTTGCTCGGTGCTAGTGCTGAGCAGTTCCAGAGCAATAATGCTACCCACAGTCTGTCGGCTACCGCTGCCAGCAACAAGTTTTTGCCTTCTATCTTGACCTTCGTTGCCTGCGGGTCTACCCCTCCTTATCTTCTCAGCTAAAGGCTTCCTATGCTACTAAAAAGCGTACAGAATAAGGGCAAACTATCGCCCACCCATTACTAGCTCAGCCATCAGCCGATCCGTACAGCTCTAAAGGCAACTACCTTCGCCTTGCCATTGTTACTACGCAGTCTCGATGATTTACACAGTTTTAACTGCTCCCATATATTGCTTTATTGAGTGCTAGGCCTTGCCGATTCTTTATTCGATATGTTACACTTCGAGTCGGAAGTAATTATGTTTTACCAATTAGCTTGCAATCGTTATTGGATATTTGGATATTAATAAGTTGATTTATTACACTTAAGTGGGAGTAGTTGTAATTTGGAACGTAAATTTTGTATATTCTTATAGGAAAAATTGCACAACTTTCTGAATTACTTAGCGTTGTCGCTGTTTGCAGGGAAGCTGAGCTATGCAAACACTTCACTGTTGTTCCTTCTGTATAAAAGGCAGGTTAGAAGTATACCTCACTTCAATTACCTAAGATGGTTTTTGTGTTGAAATCAAACAAGTCCATTTTAATTTCATGACCTATTAAAGTTGTATTTGTTAGTAAAATCACTAAGCACTCCGTAACCTCAGTCCATTCAATCACTTGAATGGCTGCATTCTTCATTCATGTGTGCTTTAGATACTTGTGTGGATTCTAACCACTTCATTCATGTGTGCTTTAGATATTTGAGGTATTTCTTTCCACTTTTTTGACCAAACAACTCGCATCTTTGGCAATTGATGAAATCAAACACGTAATATTGCTTATTTCAAACAATATTACGTGTTTAAACAACAATAGTTTACTCCATTGCCAGCGAAGTGGTTTTATTTAACGCTGCATGACCTCTTACATGACACGGTCTGCGCCTGCTGTTCTCACCTTCCTTTATGGCACATGGCTGAATGCACACTGGTGGCCACACTCTATTCGATCGTCACAACCTCACCTAGTGTTGTTCAATGGCGCCTCGTGACGAAATATTTCCTTAAAAAGAATGCCATCGTTGTTCTGAAGCTTCTTTTGAAGCGATCTTTATGGTTCAGGAGCCGCAATTTAGCCGCAGCATCGTTGCTAAATTTGCAATGTTGTTTCTGATTCTTTATTTCAAGTTTTCGTCAAATTATTAGTTTGGTTTGAACATCGTTACAAATGAAGTAAAACTTCTCGTCGTATGACCATTATAGTTTTCTTACTTATATCAACTAAACACTTTTATTTTGTTTTTTGTGCTTCAGTTAATTTATTTTAGAAAGAAGAGTCTACATTGGAAATTATCGTAAATTAAAACTCATTTAACTGTTTCTTGTCGAATCGTCTATTCAAGAAATTCTAAAAGTCACTTAGCCCTGTTATTGATATTTATTCAGAATAAAATATCGACAACTCAATTACCAATAAATTTATTTCATCAATATTTAGAGAGGAGAAATTCAATTGAAAAAAGAAAATTCCTGCAAAAATTCCAATACATTCATATTCAAATCATTCAAGCTTATGCCTCGATGAACAGAATGTAGATAAATGTCTGTATTTCTACTACACCCTGCACTTTTTTGTGCCCCTGCAAACTTAAATTCCTAATGTAAAATATGAAGTTTGTTATTTTAACGTTTTGTACTTCTTCCTGTGCAGAAATAGCCTCAAGCCGTACGGACCGTAGTGTACCAGCCACCACAACCATCCTCACAGTGCCTACCGTACAGCCTCGACTGCTCACCCATAGCCTTAACTTGCCACCCACTAGTTCTGGACCCCCAATTAATTGCAATAAAACGACCTACGAGTCGTCGCATAGTACTAAATCTTTAGTTTCCAACTCGATTTTGGATGTTCCCAACGACGCATCTTCCGTCTCTACTACCCGCGACTCAAATACGGAGTTTGGTCCAACGGACTCGCCCTCGGAACGATTTCTGATCGATTGTGACGAGTCGAATGAAGCCGCGACGTCCACTTCACCAACTACGGTGACAGACAAAAACTCTTCCTTCTCTCCGGCTCTCATTGTCCCTTCCGCCTTATTGGACAGTCGACAAGCTGCATCAGACAGCAAGTTGATTCCCACTTCTCTACCACCAAACACTTTGAAGAGCAACCCCCATAGCTCTTCTGAGGCCTCGCCGCGTTCCCCTAGCACTTCGCTAGTAGAAACTCCCGCATTAATACCTCCAATGCCCGCGTCGTCCCTCCTTGACAATTCTGCATTGATCAACTGTTCGACTTCTTCGTCCCCCGCCAGCCTCATGGTGACCAATCCTGCCCTCTTCAGCCACAGCATGCTGGGGGCCAGCCATCATACCCTCCTGCTTGCCAACGCTGCAGTTTCGAACGCTGGCTCCCCGTAAGTCATCATTGCTGCTAGACTCACTGGTTTTCTTTTTACTTGGTAATCTTATACGTGTATACTGATAATGCAAAGTATCTTAATCTTTACTTCTCTGAGTGTTTCGTCCGTGAAATTACCAAAATAGCGGACAATTTTACTGTTCATCTCGAGTTCTTCTTCTATATCTCTTCATCTTACAACTTTATAAGTGTTCTCATATAATATATTCTGCTGTATTTTTCTTGAAATCCCTTTACCCTTATTTTTAACCTTTCGCTTAGTCATCAAAGAGTATGTTCTCCTCATTTTTCTTTTCAGCTACACTTACCTCACCAACGCTGTCGTAACCAAAGCCATTCAACATGGATTCTTTGGCTCAGCCTTAGCGTTGTTACGTACGGCAAAGCAATTATTTTCTGTATTTGAGAGCAGATTGTGCGTGAAATTTTTGAAGTAACACGTTGATTTCGTATAATGGTTCTAGTAGCGATTTATTTTTCTCTTGGACTTCCTCGTCTAAAAATTCTTCATTGTTATCTGTGTCATCACGGAATCATCTTCCCCACATGAGTCTATTTTCCTCTTTCTATGTCACTATGTCACATAGTTGTTTGTCATTGTGTTTCTGCAGTTGATTACTTCCGTTCAATTAAACGGCCAGATAGAATGGCTCCTCGATTCAGTTGAGGCTGTTGACTAACAGTTGTTAAGTCACGTTGCCTCCATGTTCAAATTAACGTATAATGTGTTTAAAATAATAGTCCATTTAGATGAAAACGACTACATTAATTCAAGTTAAATAATGAAATTAAGTTGATTTCAAACTCTTGGTAATCTCTGTTTTCTGGAAATCACCTTTATTCTCTTGCGAAAAACCTTGAAGAGATTCAGGTATGATTAAGACCCTAAAGATCCTGCACGACAATCTTGCTAGTTTTTCTTGAATAAGAAGCTACGTATAAGGAATGCAGTATATTTACGTTGCGGATGTGGACTCCTTAAAATGTCAGCTATTCACGACCGCCCGAGTTGCACTGGTTTCCAGACTGGCACTCCTCGGTCCGTCTCCGGCCGTCCTGACCGCGGCACCGGGTCACTTTTTGTGACCTCGCTCGAGAGCATCGAGCTTTCTTCCCCTTGTGACATTTGCAGCACAGTTAGCGGATTTTTTTACTGCTCTACGGTTAACGTCACAAAGTTAAAGATTAAAGATTTTTAGAGATTTAAAGATTAAATTTTAATTTATAATTTAAAGATTTATAAATTAAAGCGGAAATTACCATTACGAATTATAGCAACGGCATTATTTCTTCTTTAAATTTTTGCTGTCTAATCCGTTTCTGTTGATATTCTATTGATATGTTATCACCTCTTCTGTTCATATATCCGTTTCTCGACCGGTTGAAATTTGGTTGATAATGTTATAGTTCAAAATAAAGTTTTCAATATCATAGCGTGTGAAGGAATTGGAATTGGCTATTGACTTCAAAAATTAAATTTACATCGCAGTGCCTTCCGCTGCATTGAGTTCATTCTCAACCGAGCAAAGCAGTCTTTGGGATTTAACTCTATTTTATTAATTAGGTACACTAATGATTTATCGTTAGCCTTATTCTCTAAGAAAATTACATGCTGATCATGGCCAATTATAATCAGAATATTTAATCTACATTAAAACTACACCAGAATGCATTATATGTACTCACTTTCAAGCGTTACTTAATTATACATTTCTATCGGTACATTGGTCGCAACAATTAGCTTGAACTAGCCGTCCGCTAGAAGTTCGTTTGCTCGTAGAGAGCTTGATGCTGAGCGCAGGTATTGTCTTGAGTCATTGTGTAGTGTCACTGTGTTCGGTGCCGTTTGTCTTGAGTCATTGTGTAGTGTCACTGTGTCGGTGCCGTTTGTCTTGAGTCATTGTGTGGTGTCGCTGTGTCGGTGCCGTTTGTCTTGAGTCGTTGTGTAGTGTCACTGTGCTGGTGCCGACAAGCTGGCCTGGAATGCTCTTGCTGGGGGCGGTCGGCCGGTCACGCCCTATGCCTTCTTCTGCCTAGAGGCCTCCTTGCTCTGACCTACCGGGCGTTCATTATCAGAATCTTCACACTTCCGTTTACTAAGCTTTTGATCTAGTTCGGTTAGCTAATTTTTCTAAGATCTTTGCCACTATTTAGCTGCAAATAGCAATCTGAGATAATTTTTTCGGTATAAACACTTGGCATTTGTTCATACATGGTTTTATCGATCCAACATGACCTTGTTAAATTAAAAACTGCTGTAGCCTATGAGTCAAATTTCACAACAATTTTTATTCGTGAGGAAAAGCAAGTATGTGTTTATGACACACTTATTCCATCTCACACGATCACGTGTGTTACGTCGCTTGCTATCAATTCTTGAAAATCCAAGAGTGCCTCGCATAGTTTCATCTTAGCTCTAGTACAAATGAAGTGGCGGGATGAACTTGTACTCAGAATCTAGTTCTTTTTTTTTCTCACATGTAAGAGCTGACCTGTTGCCTGGCAGACTATAACAATGCAGCGGACCGCATTGCTGCAGGAGATGCCGTCAGCGCAGCTCTGACCCTTGCTGTGTGCCGTCTCTGCTTCCTTCCTATCTATGCCGGGCTGCTACTGGCCGCTGTTTAGCTTTCGCAATTCCCTCTATTTATCATTATTTTTATGTTAGATTTGAACTATTCACTTATTTTTTCTACTGCTTCTATCTCATTAAAGTCCTACCATTCTATTTTTTTATCCGTTTGTTCTTTCATGTTGAGTTGTTCGACGAATGTTGAACTAACTGTACATTCCTTTGGGGTGATCAACTACTTCTCTTTGAACCGAAAGATTGATTATTTAGATAGCTCATTGGCGACGACATTAGTTTTTTTGTAACTCACTGCGCAAATATAATTAGAACATTCATTAGACCAATAATCTCGATTTAAGCAGAATTTGGTTGCAATTTTTTGAGCAGAAATATCTTCATCCTTTCGGTTTCTTTTTTCAAAAATCGAAAACACGTTATTCGTTTTTTATTTTTGTTCTATGGATGAAATATATCCATCCTATAGCTCTCATTATACCCTCATATCAAAATGAATGCTGTTTTTGAGTCGAAAGAAATTCAGCTAGTTCCTAATCCGCGTTTAGCTAAGATGCTGCTTAGCTCTTCCATCATGCAATTTATTTAATCAAGTTTAGTTCGTTTTCTCATCATCAGCAAGAGGACATAACCCGTCCGATAATAACTCAATTTATTCACTTTTACTGTCTTCCACGGGACGCTATCTAAAATAGAGTTTCATTTACAGATCTGCTGCAGCATGGATAGATCGCTTCAAAGAATTCCAAAGTTATAAAGACCTACACGAGGCTTCCAGAGGCTCTTTGGTTGCAGCATTCGCTGCTTCTCAACAACAACAGCAGCAACAACATCAGCAACACCTGAACGCCATCAACGCTAACGGCGATGACACGAGCAACGACAGCGGCGGTACGGCTGTAGGCAGCGTTACGGATGGTGGTTCGAGATCTGGCTACGCATCACGGACGTCGGGACAGAACGTGTCGCTCGACCTATGCGTCGTCTGTGGTGATCGCGCCTCAGGTGCGTATATCTTTATCTACGCCATGATCTGGTTTCATGTTTCGCTGTGCCCATTTTACGGCTAATTGTCTTCTATTATGAACTCTACGACATTGATTTCTTATTATGACGTGGTAACTCAATGATTAGTGAATTTCTGTGTTTGAATGGTATTAACTTCATTAAATGTTGGCAATTCTATTGAAAATATCTAAGTTTAATGTATTATTTTGTTGACAATCCCTCTAGCCTTAAGAAAAAATATATTAATTAATTATACTAAAATTTAATATATGTTGCTTCACATGTTCGAGTTTATAATTAGCTGCATTGCACCAGGACGTCCTAATTCAGATTCATAAGCGTCCTCATTCTGAAATTATGATTTTTTTGAAAATCAAATTTTATTGTGGGCTTGCAGTTGTATACCTAAAAATTTACTCTAATAGACAGAAATTTTTCTCGTTAACTAAATATCATAGGGCCGACGCTTATTACATGTCTTGCATCCATTATCAATTACGAACCAATTACGTTCATTTTGGAGAACAGTTGTTAAGCCTACTCAAGTTTTCTATCCTAATATTTTTATTCTTTCTGATTTCAAGCTGTAGCTATTATCTCTGTTAATATATTTTTTTTAGTACCTCTTCTGACAACACTTACCTTACTATATAATTTTAAATCAATTGCATCATGACTACTGTAGACTATAAACAAAGCTGTGATTGTCCAATCTTGATTTAGCTCCATTAACATCCTGTACGTTCAAAATATCTGAGCCACATTAATCTCTACTTAATTAATTAATAATCTTCAGAGAGCTACGGCATTTCTCTAGTTAGCGCATGTCACCGCCTCCTAATTTTTATTCAACTTTCCTCTAATCCTCTCAGTTCTTACCTGGGCTATTTACGTTGATTAATTGATTAATAATGTGATGTATTCTTTAGGTCGTCACTACGGAGCCATCAGTTGTGAAGGCTGTAAAGGTTTTTTCAAGCGCAGCATCCGCAAGCAGTTGGGCTACACTTGTCGGAACGCAAAAGCGTGCGAGGTGACCAAGCATCACCGTAATCGCTGCCAGTACTGCAGGCTACAGAAGTGCCTCAAGATGGGCATGCGCAGCGATTGTAAGACCGATACTAAGGACTTGTACAAAAGTTTGTGGTGTTCTTCGTTGTTTTTGTTCCCTTGTTTGTTGCTCCTTCTGTCCCAGTTGCTGCCACTGCTTCTTGCTAAACATAACTGATCATCAGGCGTTAAATGATCGCTGCTTCGTGTGTTGCTTTTCCTACATGCCTATTTGGATCCCGTTTGTTTTGTTTTGATTACTGTCTGAACTAACGAGTTTTATTCAATGTGAACAAACTAATAAACCTGCCAGAACGCAGGAATAAGATCAAATATAAATTATAAAATTTATTTGAACATCGTTTGAGTTAAGAGCGCTCACTGGTCATTCCGCACTCTGATGGACCATATCGTCTTAACTTCATTTTGCTGCGTACTTGCTCATTTCTATGAGATTAACGCGATGTAATAAAGCGTTTTACGTGCGTCATTCACGAACAATAAACAGTATAATTTAGTTCAGTAAAATTTTATTTTTGTTCCGTGATAAAATATATAATCGGAATTTATTTAACGTCCAAGCAAATTCTTTTTTCGACAAATCCCATTTTGAACTAATTTTTTGTCATCTTCCTGGTGATCTCTCATACTGTACTGTAAATGTTCCCGGAGATGACCTCCCTGATGGACTAGAAAGCTTTCCTATTAATACGCCACACTAACAGGGGGAAAATATTAAGAGTTTGTACACTTCAACAGTTTCATTTCTATTTATCGTTCACTCTAAATTGCTGGTAATGAAAGGTTTATGGGTAAATTGGATTTTTTAAAGTACAGTTTTTTTATAATAGCTATTCTACCTAAGTCATGAATTCATAAATTTCAACATTCAACTTTTAACTTATTTTTGCTCTGTACATTTCAATTTTCCCTTATAACAGTAAAGTCAGCAAATTTTAACCATTAAAATACTGTTAAAACTTATCAGTTCATTTGCTTCACACATTAATTATGTTAATATTTAATCAGTTTTTACATTTTTTTAACTTTATAATCTCACCTCCTTGGTAATAAGTTTTATATTTGTTATTTAAACGTGCCATATTTATCAAGTGTGTCTGAAAATCATTACGTACAAGCGTACCTATTAGGGAACTTGTCACTCAGCATAATCTTATCATTTACCTAATATACTAATAATCCTCGTTATGCATTGAGGTATAACTCAAGTATCAGAGGAGCAAGAATCCTTTATTGTCAGCATCATTGACAATTAGGTTATGGTAGGCTTCTCTTAAGCTGCTTGGAACTATTATTCTATCAGCACAGCACTCATTCTCCTCCGCCACTAACCGTGTGCGGTTAACCGTCTGATCTGTCACGAGTCTTACTTTGTTTTGAGGTCCTAATCATTGATGCGTCGTAGCTCGAGGTGCGACTCCTTCTCACTGTTGTTACCGCAATTATTCACTGATATTCCAGTAGAAATAATTTTTTTTGTGTGTGTACTATGCTACTTAGGCCGGTGACTTTTATCGGTGTTAAAGAATGGATTAAACGAGAATGTAAACTGCAGCCTCGTCTATTCTGGGGTTACTGGTTGGTGACCTTGCTTGGTGTTCAATTCTTTAAATGTCGTATTGCACTGGTTTCTTGGAAGGAGTTGCACCTTGTTAAGTGATTGCCCTAAACGACACACGAACTTAAATGAACGGCACTGTTGCACCGCATTCATAAACTAGTTTCTGTTTTTGTCGATTTTGCTTTTGCAAGATGTCTCTGGCCATATTGTTCATAATAATAATCATAATAATTAATAATAATATTAATGATATTTTGCAAGAGTGATGTGACCCTTGCTGTACCGTGTATCATATTCTTTCTCTCTCTCTCCTCACTCACATCCCCCTGTCCTGTGGCATTGTGACGATCGCGACAATAGCTAGCGATGGCATGTTGTTCACCGGCCACGCCAAGCCAAGAAAAGCGCTTCACTCAGCCAAGCCTAGTACGTCTCACTCATGAATACCCTGCTGGCTCTCCTATACTCACGTCCGCAGTCTTGCTAAATTATGACCTATAATTGTTCTCCCAAAAATATCTTTTACTCATGCAAAAAGCTGATTCATAACCTATGACTTCTCTGAATTTCTCATATTTTCAATGGCCTAATATTTTATGATTGAAGTGGCTCACAATAACATCATATTGATCAGTTTATCTGTGGCCCTAAACCAAAGCTAAAAGCTTTATTTGTTATAAATGAATGCAATATTACTTGCGCGTGGCGTGTTCATCAAGCTCTTGTATAGTCTAGAGCTCGGCGCTCAGCTGCCCTCAGTTGCTTTCAAAATTGTTTGTTTTGTATTCCACGTAGATTCGTTTTCTGCATTCCCAAAATTTGAAATTAATTACGTCTTACTAATATATTATGATGATTTAGAATGATTTAGCTAAGGAAAATTTGTCGTTATCTATTAGTTGTCCTGAAACCATCATCAGACTTCCAAATAAAATTCTCCTGTTTAATTCTAAATGTGAGCACTTATTCGTAATTTAGCAAGACTGGCTGTTGAGTTGAGCTGGCAGTGCAATATACTCCTAGTGACAAACTTAAGTGTGGGACGAGCCATGTAAACACCCCAGTGGCCCAATGACTTGCAGCCCACTTCGGGCTTTAGATCACGCGGTAACCTGGCGGTATTGTAACAGAGAGAGAAATATGAAGTGCGATCTAACGTTCTTTGTTGCTTTATATTTAGTGCTCTCGTGCACATCAGTTCAATCGTTTGCACACTCCCGTCAGCACCTTTCGCACCCTCTTGTTTGTGTTTTGTTTGCCTGAAGCCGTCGCATGTGTAGATAGTTGTACCTATCTTTGTACGAATCTATTTTGAACTTGAAAATTCAATTAATGGAGATACTCTGAAGGAAACCTTTACTATGTTGAATTATCGCTTAGTAAGAATGCGTTTCTATCCAGGGGCTTTTTTGTGTGGCTTTCTTTGTTGTAAATCCAATCCACCAAAGCCTAAATTAAACTTAATATTCACATCTCTTCATCCGCTGAGTTGCTTCTCAGCGGGAAGAAATTAGATCACTTCTTCAGTTTCTATTTGGAAACGAGTTTTTGAGAAGAAATTTTGTAAAGTATTTTTATTTTTCCCTGTCATATCTTGAAAATATAAGAAACAACCATTTGGCAAACCGGTATTTTGTACGCCTCCCCCATCTTTTTGTCAACTCACGAAAGTGATATGGTTAAAAAAATTTGATCAGTAAAAATTATCTGTCTTTACTTACTGATCATTGAAATGAAAGATAATCTTCTCGTCCTATTTAGAGACAATAAAGTAGGAATAAAATTTTGATCGTAACTTGTACATAATGAAATAACGGTCTTGGTGTGTATATAAAGGTACAGTGTACAAAGCTCGAGTTCTCTTGTTACTCTGTCACGTCCGCTTGATGAGCTCTTAACATCTTAAGCACGAGACAGATTGGTGCGGCGTTCAATCCTTCAAGTTTTACCTCAACAATAACTCATTAATATTAATTCCAACATAAATAAGTTACTATTATGCTTTCCGTGGGTGCGCTGTGATTGTGCTGATGTGAATGATAGCGAAAAGCCTTTAAATTCCTGCTGTAAAAAGTCCCGCCGCCTTCAAATTTCTACTCGTGTGTACCTTGTAAGAAAACTTGGCCATAATTGTTTTGTTATTTATTTGCTCTCTGTATTTAATGTTATGCATGTTACAATCATGATATGTTGCTGTTATTTTGAATTCTAACAACAAACACTTAATAGCGTTATGATACTCAAATTTTCGTCTTATATCTGTTAATAAACCTTGAATCGGACATTTTATTGTAACTTTGCTATATTCTTTGAAAAATTCAATTGGGTTTTCTTGCTTGTTGATTATTAATTAGTAATGAACGTGATTTGTAGTTGAAACATTTTTTCGTTATTTCATCATCAGAATATATGGCCTTTGCCGTGAGGGAGACATTCTTTTGCTGTTTACTTTGATAATGATACGGAATAGCATAAGTCAAACGAATCATTACTAAGAAAAATATAGTTCTGCGAAACGCGCCTTCGTCGGAATGGTCAGAAATTTGAATCACAAAAGAAAAAAATCATTCGAGAACCACATATTGTACTAAAAACTGTACTGTAAATGTACTGTACTAAAAACTGTAAATATAACTGTTTGAATAATCTTCGTTGAGATATTAGTTTTCTTGAAGTGTGAAATTCGTTATCGAGAACATTAAAGAAATTTAAGCTAAGAGTATCCAAATTAAAGCTACCAAATGTTTTGTTTAATCATTATATCTTTCGTGACCTATACGCTCGGGTTCATTGTCGATCACTGACGATGTTCTTCATTCACAGCGGTGCAGTCTGAGCGCAAGCCTTACATGGGCGGTCTAGGATCTTTAGACCGAGACAAAGATGGATCTCCTCCAGGGCCCATGATGTCGATGGGGTCTTCTTTGGATGTGACATCCGGAGGATCTCACTCCCCTTCACCCGTTACAGTTTCCTCGTTGTCTTCCATGTCCATGAACTCCCCCCTCGTGTCAACGCTCGCCGCATCCAAGCTTAACAACCCTCAGCGGGACAGCCTTCACGAGCTCAGAATCCAAATGGCCAGGGCTTTCGAGGGTGCCTTCCATCCAGTTGACCGGCCCAGAGATAATGGTGAGATTTTTACTTTTGTGTTCATTTTTTAGAAACTTAGTGGGAAGTCGGTTACTCTTACCTTTTTTGAGAGTATTGAAATTTTTTGCGTATATTGCGACAGTTTTATTCAAGGTAATTTCATTTCATATTCACAGACTTTCCCATAACTTTTATTATATTGATATTTTATTGCAATTACCGGGGTATTCTCTAAGGCCGTCGCGGAACGGAAGGACAAAAGCTAATAAGATTTTTACCACGTTTTTCTTAGCTCGCTTTCGTGTCCGTCTGCGATGATCAAATCTTGCAATCGATATTTCACCAACTTTCCCGCTAGCTAGCGCTCTGAAATTTTTAGGGAAGCTCAGCTCCCGATGACAATACAATAATCAATGATTTGTTGCACGTTTCCAGGCGTATTTATTCAATGAAATGCGTGGAATTTATTCAATTGGTGCATGAAATGAAATGAAATTACATGCACCAATGTATCCCCTCGAATACAATTTTATACAGAACTTCGAAAAGAATTTTCTTTCGTGCATTTGCGTGGCCAACAGAAATAAAATGAATATTATGTAGGACTAAAAAGGAGAAAATAAAATACTTAAAAAAAAATTTTTAAAAAACCACGTTTTTCTTGTGGACTAAAAAGTAGAAAATAAATTATGGCTCGCCCCAAAAAACGTGTGTCGGGCAGATTTATGATTAAAGCGAAAAGCACACAACACACGAATTTTGGAAATTTGATGGTGAACGTACAGCCCGACCCACGTTTTTTGGGGCGAGCCATAATTTATTTTCTACTTTTTAGTCCACAAGAAAAACGTGGTTTTTTAAAAAGTTTTTTTTTTAAGTATTTTATTAACACTTTAATTTCCAATGGACTAACCTAAATTGAGGAACAATTACAACGCTGAACCACGCTTCTAAGCTTCTAACGATGGCAATTGCATGACACAAAGAGGTGCCTACGCAAAAGGTAGCTTGAAAAAAAATAATTGGTGCACAGTTGGCTTAGCCGTAACCTTACTTCAAGCTGTCCTAGTCGGCTTCTCTCAAGCTCGCCCCACGCATACATTGAGACACGCATACGTGCACCACTCATCATAAGCAAGGACCAGCTTGAGATCGAAGTGGCTTTTAAGCATGTCGTCGGGGCGAAGTAGTCGCAGTTATCACAAGTAGGCACGTCGTGCTACTTCACGCTAATTAAAGCAACCAGCGAAACAAAGGTGGCTCCTGTGGTGAGGTGGTCAGTGACACCAAGTAGACCCACTGGCGTACCTTCAACAAAAGGGACTTTATCAACATCAGGCTGCAGGTGCTGCCATTCTAGGGTGCAGACTGTTAGGGCGCTTATGGAAATAAACAGGGGCAAAATTAGCTAAGTAGCATCGTGCACTCACAAGTTAATCTGAACCCAGATCAGAAATATTCCAGATCTTTATTGCAAACTAAGGCAAGCGAAGCAACTTAAATCTAAGTACCATCGGCATAGTATGACAAGTATTAAAAAAATCACGACGCGGCTTACTTGTACGAACAGCGGTACGGCAAAGCAACGCCGATAGGAAAGAGCGAACAGTGTGTAGATTGTAGATGAGAGTGTTTTCAGAACACAGCAAGTAATGAAGCAAGGTTGCCGGCATGCGTAACGTGAGTACGTGACATGCCAATTCAGCGGGAAATCGTAATAGTTAGTTAGCTAGCTTCTTTCCTTCACAGATACGATGCTGAAACTGTATCTTTTGCTCGCAACATTTTTCAGTTGAATCACACTAGTTCATGTGCAATACGCTGCAGGTTCCCCGCACTCGCCCACGGACTACAGCACAATCAAGGAAGAGTTTCCTTCGCTGAACTTCTGCAGTAGCGACAAGTCTCCGTCGGACGGCTCCCCGTCGCCCAGGCCTGAAGCGCGGCTCAACGGAGCGGCATCTGATAATAAGGTCGGCCACTGGCATTGAGCCATGTGCTCGGATGTTGGAATTGAGTCTATTTGTTCAACAGTTCATGATCCAAATTGATTTTTTTGCATTTAGTCATATGCATGACTTCAATTAAGCCTTTATTTAATTGAGAGTTAAGAAGGATTTAATCCGTTTACGGCAAAATTTACTTTCTTTCTTTGAATATTAAAAATAAATGTGATTTTGTGTACTCATTGGACAATAAAGCAATACTTTGGGCTTAATTTATTTACCGGCTTCTTTATGATCTGAAATTTCAATTCGGAAAAGCCTCTCTTGATCATGTGAAATTTAGTTCCTTACGTTACTTCGACATCATTTCAGAAGAAATTCATGATTATTCAGGGTTAGTGCCTGCTCAATGCACTCGGCACTTTTTTCATCGATCGATTAGGGTTACTCTAGTCAGAATCCATGGCTCAATCTTGGGGCTTGCAAGATTGAACTTTAACGTGAACCTGCTCATATTTATTTCCCTGCTTCTCAGGTGAATGGCACGAATTCCGACAACGACTCTACAGACACGGACACTCCAACACCGCAGTCTACTGCCAACACTCCTCATGACTCTCAGCAACAGTCAACACCATCGTCAGAATATTCGCAGCAAACTCAAGTGAAGTCAGAGTCAGGCAGACATGGCACTCCTGCTCAGTTAGATGGACCTTGTGATCGTACAAGTCCCGAGCCACATCGTCTACCTGAGCAGTCGGAACCCATGCAGCTCACCACTACATCACCATCGATAGACCTCAAGCCTTGCGTAACATCGCCCGGCTACAGCAACTCCAGGCTCAACAGCCTCCACGACAGTGCAGAACTTGATCCCAATGCTCCACTGCTCACAGAGTCACTCGTACCCTTTAATTTAACTGCCCCTTCACCCATGCCGCCCTTCCTCAACGTGCATTACATATGCGAGAGCGCCTCCAGACTTCTATTCCTGTCAGTCCACTGGTCCAGGAACATTCCTGCCTTCCAATCTCTCAGGTAATTTTTGCATTGGTGTGCATTTCTATCTATTCTAAATTGTTTGTTTTAATCGACGCGATAAGCTCTTCTTTTCCTATTTACTGTCAAGATCTCAAAGTTTTAGATACTCTTTTACTTTTAATTATTAATAAACAACAGAGCACATCACTAAGTATGTTATGTTCATTTAGACTGATTGCTGAATAGCATGGCCAAGATTATCCATCCAGTCTTGATGATTTTGATCACAATGTAATTAGACTTGAGAGAGAATTTAGCTACGTTTTGAAACTAAATAGAACGCATCCAATTCTCACATTTCTAAGTCAGCTCGACAATGTTCCAGTATCTCTTCATATATAGAACCCAGATAATGGTGGACCCGATTCTCTGCTTTCCTAAATATTGCTCGGTGATTTCTCCTAAATATTGCTCTGTTTTTTGCAGTCAATCGCTGCAGATCCAGCTGGTGCGCGGCTCCTGGAGTGAGATCTTGTCTCTGGGTCTGGCGCAGTGCAGCGCCACGTTGTCCCTGGACGTTATTCTCAACGCTATTTCTCAGCACCTAGCCGCGGCCCTCGACTCTAATAAAATATCTCAGGAGAGGTTTAAGGAGGTGGGCGCCTGCGTCTCGTCACTTGCTCCTAAATTTGACTTGCCAAGATTTTTTAAGCTAAGGATTTGTAAAGCATGGAATTCGATGTCGCACGGATCTTTTCAGCTGCCAGTTTTAATTTGATTATAATTTGCCCTGAAGGAGTTTGAGAAATCGATATTTTATTTGAGGGTCATTAATACCTACTGTGCCTGTGTGTGATACTTTTAATTTGGCAGCATCTACATTGGATATCTTAGTTTTGAAATCATCCATTGAATTTAATCGAAGTCTTTCTAATCGATTGTACGATATTCTACACCTAAATGATTGTAACCCATGTTTGATTTCAAGCGATGCCTACAGTCGTTTTTCACTGTAATCAGTCATGAAGATGGCAGTAAACACTTGTAACAATTACAAACACTTGTAACTTTTTTACGACACGTTTTACCGCAGGTCTACGAGCACATCGCGAGGCTGCAGGAGCTCGTGACGACTCTGAATAAAATGTCCCTCGACGAGCACGAGTACGCGTACCTGAAGGCGCTCGTCCTGTTCTCCCTGGACCACGTCTCGCCAGGCTCGCTGACGCCCAGTGAACGCGCCGCTGTCGTCCGTGGTCAGCACAAAGCTACGTCAGAGCTTCGTCAGCACGTGGTCTCTGACAGCAGCCAAGCTCAGGCCATCGAGAGATTAGCTCAGCTTCTTCTTTGCCTCCTGACCGTCAGGAAACTTCAGCCTCAGGTGGGCAACCACGTGTTTCTCTTGCATCTTGGCTGACGTTGAAGAATTTAGCTGCGCTAGTTGCAAGTATTTGCCTTGATAAATGTCGTACTTTATAAAATCTTCCTAACTTGCAGCTAAATAATTATCAATTGAGAGAAATTATTCAACGAAAAAATGAAAAAAAGTAATTAAGCCATGTGTTTTTATCCTGATCCTAAATTGTTTGTTTTCCAGAATAGTCTCGTACTTGCGTGAATATTTAGAGAACACGTTCTTTTTTTGTGCATTCGTTAAATAACATATCTTTATTCTTGTTTCTTTCAGATAATGGAAGAGCTTTTCTTCGCCGGTCTTATCGGTAATGTTCAAATCGACTCAGTAATTCCTTACATAATGAAGATGGAAATGTCTGATTAGGCTATATTTTATCTATGTAAACGTAATTTTACAATTAACGAATGTTTTTTTAGAAACTATGAATAATTTTGAATGTTAACAGTGCTTGTACATTACGAATGTAATATATTTGTTGATAGCTGCTAAGCGCACGTTAATCCAAGGCATTGCCATTCCGTGCAAATTAAAGTTTAACGTAGAAAATATTATCGAGGTAGGAATTATGTACCGGTAGAGAAAGGCCTAATAAACCAAATGTGATATTTACACTTATATGCAGTACCTACGTAGAATATCGGTGAAAGACAAGCAATTATCGGGACCTTTACTCTCATTGATACTCTGGCGGTAGTATAGCCTCTTCAAGGCGGCTTCCAATGAGCCACCTTTCACTTGCTCACTTCAGGATAAATATTAGTTCCACTTAATCCGACCATTTCTGCACATTCTGAGAAACTGTCGTTTTCAGTATACTCTCAATTAACACTTGTATGCTGATCTGAGCAGTAGAAACAGTACATTTACTGAAATATAGGTAAATTTCATATGCTGAGACAATTACGGACCTTCGCAGCGCGTCATCAATTGGATTGCCCTTAAAATCCCTATTAATGAATGCTTGCATAGCTGTCAACCGTTGTAATCGTGCAGAGATTTTCTACAAAACGCATTGAACAATAGACCATAATTTGTTGTTAAACTTCAAGCTCAATGATCGTTAGGTGAATTGATGATGGAAACGATACACTTCGATTGTTTAGCTTTTATCTCAATAATGATTGAATACGTAATTAGGTCTTAGATGGAAACGATTAATGTGTAGGTTACGCGCACTGACCAAATTTAAATAAAGTGCAACGGATCATAGTATAAACAAGGTGTACTTCCAACTTTAAACATTCTTGTTGTTTTCTTGTTGTATCTCGGAAGGCTTGGGTACGAAATACTGCGGTTAACTCATCTTAAGAGGGTATGGTTCATCCACAACAATCGTGCTCAACTTGCCTGTCTAGAGGTAACCTATTAAATGGCAATCCTGATGAATGTAAAGTAATCTACCTTTTAACAAGAGTGCCGTGTTTATACATAATAATTTTAGCTCTGGACAAAACTTGATCAGTAGTGCGGAGCATATTTTTCCTGAATATCGTTACTATACGGGCATTGGGCAGCCGTAAAGGCAGAGGTTTACCTCGGTTCGGAAGCCTCGTTGTTTTCTCAACGAAAGTAGTCTGCAAATTTATCTATTTCATCCTCCTATAGAAATGGGCGGCGCAGAAAGGGTCGGAAGACAAACGCAGTGACCCGATACTTCAGCACTGCCCTCAAATGTACAAATATTCTCGTAAAGGTCTCTACCACGTACTTTATCCTTGTCACGAACTTTGCACGTGAGGTCTTGAATATATGACAATAATGAGCACTATATCAACGTGTGACCAATTACTGCGAGTTTGAAGGTCTACATTATCGCGCTACTAGCACACTCCATTTTATATACGCAGGAAAGTTTAGTCCAATAAATTGACGGTATTCTGGAAATAACTTTTTGTCGTCAATAGCGGTTCAATAGATTCTATGTGAAAATCTATAGTTTCAGCTTTGACTTTCTCGCTTCAATTAGTTGTTAATTCCAAACATCGTCAGCTTTTTGTTTTCATGGCAGTGAAGTGTGAAACGCCGCGAATGAACAGGGACCATATTTGAGCTAATGCCTTTCCCCGAGAAATATCAAAAAATATTTTGATAATAATTTGTTATCGCTTCAGAGATGCTTTCGTGTAAGACTTGTAGACGCTGTTACGTTTAGAACAATCGTATTTTAAATTATGTACAGGATGACTTAATTGAAACTTTTTTTACATTTAAGTAGTGATTTAAACAGTTTCTTCATTGAAACACACCGCATTAACGAGCTTCAGTGATGGATGCTTCGGTAAAATGACAACGGATATTATTCTTCTATTGTACGATATTTAGGGACGCGTGCACGAATTTTATTTTGATTATACCATGTGCTGCATTCCTCGCTGGACGATTTTATCCGTCACTGCAGTATGGCATTGCGATGGTACGTGCGAGCTGAAGTTTTCGTAGTTACGGCACACGTGAAAACTTTCGACGATAAACAATTGTATATTGTAAATAATACCTGTAATTAAAAATGATGTATTTTTTCTACACACGTTGTAGTGTTGTAAGTTTATACGGTGGCCTCTGGTTTACGCCGAGAAATTGGATTAGCATTTCATGCAATTTTTATTCTGGAAGTTGGTGTGCAACGGTGGATTGCTATTTAGTAGTTGTTTCTATGATGATTGCTGTCTTAGTGTTCACGTTGCCCTATCCTGCATCTTGTGTTCCCCTGAACTCTTCTCCAGTAATAAGAATATTGGCGTTTTTTTTAGTTATGTGTGATTGCATTGAGCTTCTTTATCCCAATTTTGATGCGTTGTTTCTCTCAACTTAATCTCCTTCCGCACCTTCCTTACAAAACACTCCTTGCAGCAAAGTTACGCGGAGCCTAATTCCCGGAAAGTCTTGAAAAGTAAGACACTTGTATCAATTTCTCCAATAAAGTTGATCACAATATTTGTGATAAGTTTCACCAAAATTTATCTGCCTCGCGCTTGGGCATATGAGCAAATGTTACTTCGATTAGTGTAATTTTTATGTCGTATTGAATGAACGTTGTACGCTTCGCACCTCAACTCCTATTAATAGTCCCGATGAAGACATCTCTCTTAAGTTTTGGGCATTAGCTGGCGAGCTGTCTTGAACTTTAGGGCATCTGATTACGAGAGAATTGTTTGCTTCGTAACTCATGTATAACTTGACCACTGAAATGACACGTATTTTTAACTCGTTGTAATCAAGCCCCTGTTAAGAGAGTAAGCACTGGTATGCGGTTAGTTGACAGTCAGTTTGTTCCCTTTTTTGTTTTATCATGTGTATAGATTTTCCGACAAATTTAAAGGTTTAATATTTTTCTCTCATTATTTGTATTTGTAAGCATTGGCGTTGATGCTGATTAATAGATGTCTACTTACAAGTATGATTGAAATATCTTCAGCGTAAACTAAGTTGTATCAAATGTTTGAGCTAACCTGCGCTACAAAATTATCACCATTTCTTCTCCTATCTTAATTTTTTTTTGTAAATCCATTCCGCCATTACACAATAAGAAGTCCGACAACCGGTAGAAATTTTCTTTCATGAATTGTTTTGGCAATATTGAAATCTGAATGGTCAATTATTTTTCGGCGATTTTATGTTTAAAAAGGCCTGTGAACTTCTTTCACATGACCAATTGAAATGAAATTGTTTGCAAGGCCTCAGGATTTGTGTTGTTCACATCGCGCCCAAATGGAAACGACAGGCCTGTTTGTGTTTGATTGCTTTGTTCAAGCTTCGTAAATAATTTACAGACGTTTTGCAAATCAGGCTGAATTAATAAAATGTGGCATTTATAAGTGTTAGCACGTTTTGACAGAAGTCCTAATCTCATATGAAGCAGATGTACTTCATGTGTGAGAACTAGAAAGGAGGCATACTTCTCATCTCATTTGCTATTGGGCATTGACATTTTTTTTGCGAAAAGGAAGTCATTTATTACTATTATTTCACTAGCTTCCACACTTTATGCTTTTGATTAGCAGGTGCCCAGCCCTCATTTCTTTGTTCGTGGATTTTTCCCGTAGTTAATCTTGATCGCCCATAAAAATTGAGACAAGGCAGCAAAGAGCAATTGTAATTTCACGAGCTTATACAAATTAACGATATAATTATATTATTTCGAGATAAAAAGCCACCAGCCATCCCACCCGTCTCACTAAATCTCACGCTCGACTAAATTTGCAATTTTCTTGAACCACGTACATCGAAGATGGTAGGCTTTTATTATTTAGGGAAAAAGCTTAGGTTTGATTCTTAAACGTTATTTTATGCTTCTTTTCTTGCATTAGAGTTGAGTTGAAGGCATTATAACTGCCAGAGAACTTTGTTCCGTATTACTACGTGTTGCCTCTTGCGCTTTTGTGTTCAATTATACAGTCTGACCACGGGGTGAAGATATTCCATACACGTGCTGGTCCCGATGATGAGTGAACCGTGAGTCTCGGTACTCGGTATCATCGTTAGTGGTTCATTGTCTCACTCTTCTCGTTCGAACGCTCAAAGTGATGTACGCCTACGTAAAGCGCATTAATTGTTACGTTTTTAGGTTTTGTCGAGTGATGTATCTGCAGACGTGAGTGATAAGTATTACTTCATCTCTTATGCACCTGGTCCCATATATACGTGATGCTGTATAATTCACCTCTTCCCCCCTATGTGTTTGTATCATAATTTCTTGAACAAATTGAAGTAATATCGCCTAGTTGTATTTAATTTCATAAGACCACCTAAGAAGACATTAGCTTTACCTCTCCATTTTGTTCATCTCAAGTCCAACGCCAATAAATTTTGTAATCGTTCTTCCAGTTGTTTCATTCAAATTCTCCAAGAATCCCTGCACTGGTCTAGCACCATGGGGACCAACTGACGCTAATTCTTCTGTTGTCTCTATTAATGATCGTGATAGAAGTCTACGGCTGTCTGAATTTTTATTTGACCCCTTCTTATCAAACACACTCCTGCCGTTTGTCAAACCAAGAATTTTGCAAATTTTTTAACAAATATTCAGTACGACACATGAATTTTATTCACTTAATCTGGACCTAAAATGTAAAGTAATGAAATTGCCATGAATATTTCCCATATTATACTGGTAACGTTTTAATGAAGATCCGGGCCAATCTGTGATAAACCCTGCTTTCAAGTATCTTCAGGAGCCGTACTATTAACAATCTCAAGTACATGTAACGGCCGCTTTCTCGTCAGTGATTTGTACGGTAAGCTTGAAACAGCGTAAGTGATTAGCTGACAGAATTAAGGACTTGTAACTATTTTCGATAATGCAGCCGCTGCCTAGAATTTGTCCTATAGATTACGGCAACAATAGCTCTAATCAAGTGAAAACGTAATAGTTTTCGAGCGCATTTGAGGATAAATTAGTCCAATTCTAATTCGCAGACAGGAGTGAGTTCATTCCAGACGGGACGGGAAAAGGATCATTCCATCCATGATGGCAGCCTCCGACATGCACGTATCGAGCATCTCCAAGATATTACGCCAGAAAGAAAGAATGATTTCACCGCTGCCTTGAAGTCAGCACAGCCTTGTGTTCAGTTCAACACAGCTTTGAGCTCAGCTCAGCACAGCCTTGTGTTCAGCTCAGCACAGCTTTGAGTTCAGCTCAGCACAGCTTTGAGTTCAGCTCTGCACAGCCTTGAGCTCAGCTCGCTACAGCTTTGAGTTCAGCTCAGCACAGCCTTGAGCTCATCACACAATTCAACCATGGACACTTACTACCGTTGTGTCGTTTCCGTTTGGGAAAAAGAGACAATGTTCGAATATACATTATTAAACTTTAACGACAGGTAAGCTGCTTCGATTGTAACAATAACGTGGGATTCCTTTGCTATTATCGAATAGCTCGCCATGTAGCGCAAATCGAATATAACTTCATGCCTTCGTTGGTAACGCCAAGTCACTAGTGAATGATTTTATATCTTAATAGCGCAAGTTCCTCCAACCGTGAAAACGGGATAAAGTTGTTTGCATATTTTAATCGGTTTGCTTAATTAAAAAATTGCTATATTACTATTATATTATTTATCCTTTGATTGAAGAGGTCTCTGGTTATCATTTTTACAATTCAAGCTAAGGTCATTGTTGAACGGCTATCATGTCGCCAACAAAACCATGTCAAGACCAATTTCTCGAACTGCCGAAACATTTTCCGCAGATCTTCCACGTAGAAATGTTAACGGTACATTTCTTACGTTTGGCACAAGCACGATTGTCGTACAGTGCTGAACGGTATAAAAAACATCAAGTTTCCACTATTGATTAAATGAACACGAATTTAATAAAAACCCAATGTTACTGCAATATACTAAAAATTGTTACAACCGTTTATCCAGTCCGTATTATATATTGCTTACGTAGTACGCACAACCACTTTCATAACAGGAACGACGATTAAGTGCCTCAAGATTTGCGTTGCATCAGTACCTCTGGACGCGGCAGTGTGAACTTGTTTCCTTGAAGCATCAGCTGGTGGCTGGCTGCCGTTAGATCATTTTTAATATGTCGCAGAGGAAGCTGAAGAAGAAGGAGCAGGTCAGACTTTGCTGGATTAAAAATTTTCTGTATTATGTGTAAAATTTCAGTTGTGGCTCTGAATAAAAAGGCAGATTAAGTTCCACTGTTCCAGATATTTCTCTTGAGTCTGTTGCACAACTTACTAACTTAACCTCTGGAGTTGGGCCTGTTTGGGTTACATTATAGCCTACTTGATTTTAAACATCTCCAAAGATGATTATATTTTGATTTATTGTGAATTTAAGAATGATTTTATGTTGAACAGGTTTGAAGTTTATTTGTTTATATATTCCCTTATCCTCTCTCTATCCTTGATATTTTATCTTTGGTATATATGTCAATGTCATTATGTAATTTAATTATTTATGTGTTGTTTTGGTCTTTGGATTGGACAGAGAAATTCCAGCCCAGGCTCAATTACTAAAATGTTGGCTGGAGTTTCCCAAAATTCTGGGTAGAAATGATTGTTTTACAGGTAAATTTTGAGAACTGCAAGTGAAAATGCAGTAACTAATTGTGGGGTAACTGCCGACTGCCGTACATTACCCGGCATACGCATACCCGCACTGTCAGTGCGGGTATGCGCTTGCTGAAGATGCCATATAATTTTTCTGAAGATGCCATATAATAGCGCTTGCAAAGAGCTATAAAATGAGCCCAAACTTTTTATGAAATGTTTCATGGTAAAAAGTTATTAAAGAAAAACTCCAATAACTGTCCCATATTACCCCGTTTGACAGTATACGCGGCAGGGTTGGCGATTTTTTTTTATTTAAAAAAAAATCAAAAATCAATGATTTTTTTTATTTTTTTCATGCTTTTTTTGATTTATTTGATTTTTTTTTCAACTTTTTTTTCCTTTTTGATGTGTTATTTTTATGTTGCAATTAGCCTACTAACAATAACAGTATATGGATCATAATGGATGGCTAAAAAAGGACACTTATTGCCTTCAATAATGGCCAACAGTCCAAAGTGGTGTTTACCCCTTCGGGATTTTTGGGTAAACAATTATTGGTACGATGTCTATTCATTAGCTTTGTAAAGTTTGTATGGAGCAAGGTAATAAGCTAAATATTGACCATTCAACTGGCTTCAATATACAAAAAGTCAAAAAAACACTTCAGGAATGCAGATCTTCTAAACATTGAAGAGTCACATAACAGATAGGTAGCTGATAGCACAGTGCACAGCACTATCAATAGATCCACTAGTTTTATGTCCTAAAAATCTACCAGACTCTACCCTCAATACACACCAACTATTAGTGACCTGTGACTGTAGCTGATACCACAGTGCACAGCACTATCAATAGATCTACTAGTTTTATGTCCTATAAATCTACATAGCTAAGCTGCTAGCTACGTACAATGTATATTGCACACATGATGCCTCTGTACCAAAAACATTCAATTTATTGGAACCTAATACACACTAAAGGCAACAAGTTTATATACCAATTTGTCATTTATAGTACATTTATACTAGACCATGAATAACAATACCTCAATATAAATTAAAGACTGCCACTCAAGACTCAATATATTTAAATATATTAAAAAATAAAAAAAAATTGAAAAAATAAAAAAAATCATGATTTTTTATAAAAAAATCAAGTGATTTAATCACATGATTTAATCATTTTGATTTAATCATTGCCAACCCTGATACGCGGGGGTGTTAATTGCCCATACAGTTGGTGATGGTGGTTGATGATCATTAACAAAACCTTTTGGGTGCAAGATATTTTTGGAAGGAGCAAAATACTGAAAAATGGAAGTTCAAAGAACCATAGTCAACTAAAAAATTCTCGTTTGCTTCTATGCTGGAGATAACGATTACTGTTGAATGATTTACTTCTTATCTAATTGTTGATAAAAGTGCATAATTGGGCTGCAAAATTTTAAATGTATTAAACATTTATAACTTTGAGGCTACAATATTTCTGTAATAAGTAGAAAAATTCTAATCATGTTGTGCAATGCAAAATTTCCATCTTCAGGACATGGCTGTTGCTTATCTAGGCTGGCCAATGAAGTAAGAATAATGGGCTCTGTAAAAAAAATGAGCCCAACCCAGTTGGCTTTTCCAAAGAAAATAGTTTCAGTACTTTATTCTTAAATGAAAAGTAAAAAAATTACAAGTAAAAAATGTCAAATGTACATATATCAAAATACTAAATAAAATATTTTATATTTAAAAATACCTGACAGTTTAGTGACCTGAATATAAATAGAATCTATTTAATACTCCTTTATGCTGACAGTAATACCTATGTTCTATTAGCCACATATATAGGTCACACTAAGCTCTCTAAATAATAATGGTTTGTATATTTTTCTTTTGGTAGAAATAAAAAATACAGTTTTTTTTAAACCTGATGACTATTATGTCTGCTCCTGAGCAGCCCTTTTTCATTTGCTTAAGAGTTTATTAATTAATTTTTGTTGCACAGGATGTGGCTCCAATACCTTTGGAAGACAAGCCTACTAAGCTGGATTATACTATTGCAAGCTACATGAAGAAGAACACACCAACTAAACGCACCAAATTTCTTCATCATCAGGTCAACTATTTTTATGGTATGTGACTCAAGTTCTGTCCTGCTCTTAATGTTTAGATAAAATGATATTTGCTGAGTTCAGATCTTGGAGCAGCTAAGACAAATTGAGGTTGTAAAAAAAAACATTTGGTGTCAAAACATTAACACAGTGTTAAAATTCTATGGAAAGTGTAACAAAAAACATTTTTGATATGGTCTATATAATATGGTTGTTTGATATGGTCTAGATAAAACACAACTATATTGGTCTATGAAAAGGGATCAGAATGAAGGAAATTGTTCATTTCTTGCCCAGCTTCTAAAGCCGTGGACGTTCTCCTGGACTCACAGTGGGCTACTGGGAAAGATGCCATCTTCAGGGACCGCCAAAGTGTTGTTGATTACTGCAACAAGTGAGGTTTTGTAATATTGAGGATACTTTTTGTAAATTTGATTTCCAATTTTTAGCAAAATATTCTTATGAGATCAAGTTATCTGAGATCCGAGATGCTCTCACCACTTTAAAGTTTGAGTACCCTGTGAAGAACCCTTAATTCAATATAGGTTACATCCCTGTAACATACATACTCAAACCATATCCATTCATACCATATTCATCACCTTCCATGACAAATAAGATGAGAGATTCTTTTAATCATTATCATCTGCTATTTCAGATGTGGGATAATGAATATCTTTTGAAGTTGCTGAGCTTCTTTGCATATTATGTCTGTTAAATTTATTGATTCAATCAGCCAGTTAAATTGGGATTTGAAGAGTTGGAATGTCCATGTTGAATTTTTCATTTAATCAACTCTTTAGGGGCTTCTCTTCTGTACACACTTAAATGCAAAATTTTTTCTTTAGTGTATAGTGCAGATTTTGCAGAGCAATTGAATTTGACTGAGAAATCACAGTGTTTTCCTAACTAAGCGCTATTGTACATTCATACTGGTTTATTAGTGTGTTGTGGAAGAACCATCTAGGGGTTTGATATTCAGATGATAAGTTCTTATGCTCAGATTTCACAGACGTGAACATTTTCAAATGTTATGCAAATGTATTGATGTACCAGTCTGCCATATTATTTTGTATTAACATTGCATACTAGTTGATTGATGTAATTTCATTCATGAATTAATGATGGCCTTTTTGCATCTGTTTATTGTGGTTCAATTTCTACACATTCCTTCTTTAAAAAGTGATTGGTTGTCAATTGCTTTAAATGCACCTCGTTGTTACCTATGCTTGCTTATTAGTGGAGATATTTGGTGAAGGATTTTATTTCAATATTTTGTCCTATTCTGCTTGTTTACATTGATTACAAATAGCGGTTAGCTCTGCGCTGTTTTTGGTTTTCAGCAACTTTCATTTGGTATGCATTTTCAATTATAAATTATTGTGGCTGTGTTCTTCATGAATGTTTAAATTGACTTTAATTTAATCAGAACAGTTTAGAAATCTTTCCAAGCCCCAAGAAGGTATTGCTTTTGCTCACTAGGATATTAATTTTAAGTGAAACTATTTTTTAATATTGTTTTCCACATGTGTTTGGGATTGTACAGTAGTACCGTACCATACTTCAGTTTTTGGCCACAAACCATTCCATATTTATAGTCAATAACCAATTTGATTTATTAAAGGAAAATAATGATATGAATTAATTAGTGTCGAAGACTCAGAACCGTATACTGTGATATACATACATTAAAACTATTTCCTTTCTGAGTTGAATTTCTTTTGTCTCCAATTATCTTATCATTACGTATGCTACTGCTGCTGACTTCCTTCTGATGCATGTCAAAGTGTTGAAAGCAGTATTATGAACAAATTAAAATTTAAAAATACTATCTAAATCACTGAGTTTAATCTTCCTACTGTAGATTGACTTGTGTCAGAGCAACTAACAAGCCTGGACTGAATGAAAATGTTCAATCCTGTTTTAATAATATTAAAAATCAAAGCAATATTATTTCAAAATTCCATGTCAGACTTTTACAGTGCTCAACATCCGAGGTATAACACTGTTCTTTGAATTTCAACTATAGCTGCTTTTTTCATTTCTGATGATATGCGTTCTTATTTGGAGAACGTATTATTTTATTTAATGTTTTCCTGTTAATCTTTCAATTTTTCGTTTCTTCACTGTTTATCTTAACTCATCCCTAACGATTTCTCATATGAATAGACTGCTGACTCAGAAGTTCTTCCACCGCGCCCGTAAGATTCCCGTCACTGAGAGAGATCTTAAGCCGAAGGAGCTGAAGAAAAAGCGGGAGAAGGAGGAAAAAGAGAAGGAAAAGGAGAAGAACAAGAAAGAAAAGATCAAAAAGAGAAAAGAGTTGAGCGAGAGCGAGGACACCAAGAAAGAAGATGATGACCAAAATGATGATCGAAACTCATCCACGAAGAAGAAAAGGAAAATTAAACTTGATATGCACCTGGAACAGGTCAGTTCTGTCCTGCAGTTGTCTCAATTTCTCCGACCACTTCCACTTCAAGGGATAAATTTAATTTCAAAGTATAGTGTGTAATGATGAGGAGCATTATACTTTCTGGTGTTCCCAGTAATTTCTTTTCGATCTTCTTCTGTGGCGTACTTTGAAAAAAAAAAATATGCAAGCAAAAGGAAAGCATCACTGAGGAGCTGTTCAAGACCCCTTTTTCTCAAATGCCTGCAATTAGTTTAAACTCTGCGTGCGATACAATAGATCTTTGTTACGTTACACACGATGCGCATCACACATTCAGTGGGTTGCATGTTTCACCACCTGACGAGTCTATCCACCTTTTAAGTGACAAATTGCTAATTCAGTTAGATTTTCCTTGTTAGTATTAGGTATTTTATTTAAGAACAATCAATTTAGATGACAGGAGTGTTTTTACAAGAATTTTCCTTTTTACTTTAGTAACACAATATTGTCATGATTTGTTGCAAACGAATAGCTAGCATCACTAGCAAAAATTTTCACCCTGAAGTAAACATGTTATCACCCGCTGATATATTTAAACAGATAGCTGCGGCATTAATTAAACCTATACCAAATTTTCATGCAAAAATTTCGACGTAAATTTCACTGAATTTAATGGTTCCTCAAAAAACATCCAAATTACTTCCTCTTGAGACGTACGAAGCCACTTTTTGATAGCTCTTGATAAATGCTGAGAAACTAAAATGCGAAGAAACTAAAGATAAGAAACTTCACCTTTATTTCCCCAACAATTCTGTGGTTTTGTTTTTGCGACGAGTGCTTCCTTCCTTTACGTTGCTTCATGGTGCATCACAATGAAAATGTTAGCTTATTCTACCTAACGATTCTGAGATCAAAGTTGTTTTTCTGTTAGATATTGCTTGTTTTCGCATGTTTTGAGTGTTACCGATACCTACAGAACATAATTTTGTGTTTTCTTATTTGTAAGCACCTGTGTCCTATTTGGTGCAGTTGTTCGTGGACGGTTCTGACGCGTACGTGTGGATGTACGATCCCGTGCCTTTCTGGTACTACATCGCCGGGGCGCTGTGCCTGCTCGCTGCCGTCGCTATTTGCCTCTTCCCGCTGTGGCCTCCCATGGTGCGGTCAGTATTCTAGACGCGATCACAGTATTTGCCTCTTCCCGCTGTGGCCTCCCATGGTGCGGTCAGTATTCTAGACGCGATCACAGTATTTGCCTCTTCCCGCTGTGGCCTCCCATGGTGCGGTCAGTATTCTAGACGCGATCACAGTATTTGCCTCTTCCCGCTGCGGCCTCCCATGGTGCGGTCAGTATTCTAGACGCGATCACGGTATTATGGACTTCATCTATCGCAATGTGGATTAGAGCTTGACGATCCCAGGGTGACCAATGCTAAATTTTAGGTGGTGGCTATGTTGAAATATTACTTCATTTGCGGGTAAGTTCTGTTCAAAGAGGACTGTGGGTGCAGTAAAACACTACAACCGTGAAAATAGTATTAACTAAAGCAAAGATCGTGCAACATACCTAGTAAAAAATTTAATTGGAAGCATGTATTAAAATTTTAAATAACTTATCAGTAGGATCACATAATTCGCAGTCTCAAATTTGAAAACGTTATGGAGGTCCTTGAAAAACGTATAAAAAATCCTATTATACAAAATAATCCCACAAATCCACTATAAACAAATGACAAAAGCAAAATTTGCAGAGTGGATCTCAAAACATAAGTTGACGAATAGGTAACAAACCGAAGAAAAATAAGCTAAATTAGTCAAACCTATTCATTTATAAATCAAAGCGGATAAGAAATTGACGCGTTATTCAAACTAGGCATTAAAATATTCAAATATTATAAAACAATTTTAAAATATTGATCGTTGTGGTGTTGCTGTAATTTGCAATTACATTTGTACTCTCAGATCTTTAAAATGAAAATGAAGCAGCGCTCCGAAAGATATCGTAAATTTTCTCGGCAGTTATGTTCTTCAAGATGCATGTAAATGCGCCTCAAGTAGTTTTTGTTGAAGAAAATTAATTAAGTTTAGGGCATAGAGAGCAGGAGATAACGGTGCTTATTTCTTGCTTCTAAATTCTCATGATTCTTCCTATTTTAAGCACGGTTTTTATAATATTAGAAAATTCTATTTCTATCTGGCAAGGGTAATGCAAGTCATTTACGCTCTAAAGCAAATGTGCAAGCTATGTCGGTATAATTTGAATTCGTTTCCTTATTGTTGGTATGTTGGTATAATTTGCATTCGTTTCCTTATAGTTCAAATTTAATTACAGAAAAGGCGTGTACTACCTGAGCGTGGCTGCAGCGTCTTTCCTGGGCGTGATCCTTGGTCTTGCGGTTGTCCGCTTCATCGTCTTCCTGATAATCTGGGTGCTGTCAATGGGGCGTCACCACCTGTGGCTCCTCCCGAACCTCACCGAGGACGTGGGCTTCCTTGCTTCCTTCTGGCCCCTTTATCACGTGAGTTCAGTGCCGCCTGAATAACTTTATTTATTCATTTTGAAGTTCGGATAGATCAAAAGCCGTGAAATGAGCCTCACACATCTGCCTCAGCTGAATGAGGCAGATGTACATGGTTTCCAGTCCGAAGCCTCATATGCCGAATGCTATTGCTATCGAAAATCCTGGTAACTAAACTTGCCTGTCAGCAGGCAAAAGATTTATACAAATATATTCAACCCTATGACGCCTAATGTATTCCTTGCACGAGTAGAAGTGCAAGTGAGTATGAAAGAGCTGTATGTGACATAATAGTTATATCTGTAAAAAGGTTGTTAGATTTTATTGAAACATTTATGTTGTCGTATAAACGGTTAGTAGTGAAGCACACGGCATCTCAAATTTTCACTCTTCGGTTGTGATCCCTGGAGCTAACTTGGCATTTCATTTCTTTACATGTCGTGTCTGGGCACCAACACTCCACACCTCAAACGATGCCATCCTGCACTCATCTTGTTCCTACGCCGTAATGTGCTGTTTGCACCTGAATTGTGTTCTAGCTTACTTATATTTTCTATGTCATAATGCGAATTTTAACTATGTAAATCGTTGTCACACGTCGCGAATTGATACGGATGTTATCGCGCGGGACAGTATGAGTACAGAGGTGCTGATTTCGATCGTAAAAAGTCAAAGAAGAGTAAAAAGAAGGTGACTTTAAATACGGCGGAAACAGAAGACGACAATAAGAGGTCGGACAGAGAGGGACCTGAAAATACGTCAGCTGGAGAAACAGATAGACCGGAGACCGATGGGGAAAGGTAAGTTGTTTTATCAGTAAGGTAAGTTTTGGTCAGATGCATTTTTCTGTCCGAGGGAAGTCGCTGATTTTTCCATAAATGAGACAATGCGCTGAAAACCTGTGTAGTAACTGTTTGCTCAAATTTCTTCATTCTATTTTAACTTTTCATATATTAGCATTCAGTTAAATCGCGCTCATATGTTCGTTGAATTTAACCTCGATATTTTTCATGTTTAATGTTCCATTTTTAGCGCATTTTCTCATTTATGGAAAAATTGCACTATTGTGCACGCCATGTCCGTCCGTCCGTGACTTCACGTTTTCGTCGACGAGAAAATGCGCTCTCTGTCACTAACTGCAGTGAGAACTGAGTTTTATTTTTTTAATAGCGCTCCTTGCCTGACCTTTTATGAGATTGATTGCGGCAAATGGTTTGATAACGAGTCATTACATCTCTGATCAGCTGGAATCATTCTCTCGGTTGATCACGACGTTACTGCGTTACGGTTATCATTTTTTTTTTGGTTGATGTTTACTGTGTAAAATTGTGGGAACCGGCTTGCTAAAAGGAAATTGTAATTCACTAATTTAAATATCAAACCTCTCTACTGATTAATTTGATTCTAAAAAATAGAACAGGTGTCATTGTAAACAACAGCAACACATAATTTGTTTCGTTGTTTTTTGATATCATATCCTGAGGCTAGTTCTTTATTAGTTCAATATACACGTAATTGTTGAATGCGAGTTTGGTTTACCGTTCGAGTAACGTGCCCCCAGCTGTGCTGTAGACACGTACGTTTTGAATGTGAATCTGGTTGACGTGTTCTACTGTGTTGCACGTTGACGTGTTCTACTCTGTTCTAAATTGACGTGTTCTACTCTGTCACAGACATGACCGCGATTCTGGCAGTAACGGCGAATCGGACGCGTCGCAACACTCGCAGTCATTTGAGCTGCTGCATAGGGAGGATCTGGACACCGGCGACGAGCAGGACGATCACGAGGAGCCTCCTGATCAAACCCAAGAGGAGGATAAAGACAGTAGTGGTCATGAGGCTCAAGAGAGTGCAGCCACATAAAACTGCTCCTTGCCTTCTTGTTTCTGCTGTTGTTCAGGTGTAATATCTTAACTTTGCAATGTTAGTGAACCGCCCTCTGGAAAAAAATGACCTGTCTCATTACCTGTTTCACTAGAATTTCCCAGATAAAATATGGTTACTTCCATCTGCATTCGTATCTTTGTAAAGCTCGTGTCTGACTAATGCTACTTGAGAGCAGGTTTATGAAAGGCACGTACATATTTTCGATTACGAGCTCCTATGTTAATAACAATAACTACTTGTTTCTACTCAGCGGCCAGATAATAATTTCAACTTCTAAAACTGTCATCCTACCATTTGTGTTTTGTTGCTGCAAATTATGTTTTTATAAAACTCGTCTGTTATTTTTTGAAGGAAAACTGCATTTCGATTCCTTTCAAACCTTTTGAATTGCTCACCCTAATGCAATGTAGTTTTAGAAATTTGTTTTCAATCTTGCATGAATATGCAGTCGGTTTGCGCCCATCTGATGCGAAAACGTCGTGCACTGTTATTGGATGCGGTAACGTTGCGTGCTGTTATTGGATGCGGTAACGTTGCGTGCTGTTATTGGATGCGGTACCGTTGCGTGCTGTTATTGGATGCGGTACAGTTGCGTGCTGTTATTGGATGCGGTACCGTTGCGTGCTGTCATTGGATGCGGTAACGTTGCGTGCTGTCATTGGATGCGGTAACGTTGCGTGCTGTCATTGGATGCGATAACGTTGCGTGCTGTTATTGGATGCGATATCGTTGCGTGCTGTTCTTTATCACAAATTGTTCGAGATTTTTCTGTGACTACAGACTATTAACTTCTGAATCTCAAAAATGCTACTTTGCCATTGTGCAAATAGTTAGGAGTTGGCCTAAAATTGCAGAAAATCTTTTAGTCTAATTTATTAGTCCCCAGGTTAGGTTAGTATGGTTGTAATTCCGTTTTGAGGGACTAGCGTATTGAGCAGAGTTCATTTTCAACGGAAGCATGTATAGGTTTTGCATAAAGCTACATTTGGATAATGTTGGCAAATGAGTGGATTAAATATAGAACTTATAGAATAAAACATATTTATTTTCTCATTTACATTGTTCATGGTATCAGAAAATAACGCTGTCATGCAGTTCATCGGCGAATAAAGTAATTTATTTACTCCACATCGTTTTTTGCCTTGAATCTACCCGGTGCATATGGAACATGAGGGAAAAGAAAAGTGCGTACTTTTTATCTGCAGTAGAATTTTTCCAAACATTAACTGAAATATCTTTGTGAAACCCCTGCACAGTCGAAACCTAGATACTAGATTGATGCGAACATAATCCATAGTTAATTTAGGAAAGTAAGAGTGAAACGAGCAATAACAAGCAGATTACCCTTGATGATCGTCACATAGTTAATCGCGAGCACATCTGTTCACTAAAAAATGTGAACAAGCATCAGTTCAAAGAGTGGTAAATGTGTCGTGCGTTAGAAGATGCTAAGTACGTAATTTGTGAACGAAGTATGCGATTTTCAAACTGAGCCCCACAAGCGAACAACGTATCGACTTCAATCCTGACAATCCTCAAAGTTGACTCAAACATGGCATTTGCTTGAGAAATTGTCATGGCACTCAAGAAATTGTCGCAAGGCTAATTCGATATGCGTCCAAAATGAAGTACATAATTTCAATTTTTCAAACATTTTCACGGCGGGCGAGATAAACAAATGGATTACTGTTAATACAAACTCCAGACGCATGAGTGAACTTAAGGGCAATTTCCTCACTGCTAAACTAGATAATATATTGCATTCAGAATGTAAGATCACATATTTTCTTAAAATAAATAAGAGTACCAAATGTGAATAAACCAAGTACAACCTATTTATTCAAGTGGAATACTGACGTCGAGACATTTAACGTGTGTTGTGTGGTATAAGTTGTTCATTCCACTGACAACGACGTACACGTTATATAAAGACTTCTAAGAGTTGCTAAAGTAGTGCTAATAAAATGAAGCTATATAGAATAATATCTATGAAGCTTTAAATCACGAAATCAAAGCTGAGGTAGTCCCTCCCATGTTAGTAACGGTCAGTTAAGAACGAGAGATTCTGCTCTTAACACTGTGCAGCAAAAGAATAGTGGAACTGCTATCTCGAGAACCTTTTTAACTGGCATCAGCGTGACGCGAGATGGCTACGATAATGTCAAGACCGATTAGAATTTTTACACATGAGCCACTTTCCTTTTATAATTTATTTTGTTGCTCGCGAAAAGTAAACGTATAAAACAATATACATATGTCATCACGTTTTCGTTCGCTTTGAAATTCAGCGTACTCATCATTATACAAACATTCATTCCAAAATTTAAATACAAATATAATAGACATGATCTGTTGTCAACGAGGTCTTTACAATCGGTAAAAAATGTTGAAGTACTAACGACAATAACACCGCTGGCTCTCATTTCAGCAAGCAGCAATGGGAACACGTGTATGGTTTGCAAAAATGATCTATCGTTCTCAAGAAGATATGAATGGCCGAATGTATAATTAGTCTACTGACCTCTGGCACGGAACTTGTGCTGAGCATATATAACTAATCTGTCATCTGCCTGGTCAAGCCTGCCAATAACACAAATATCTACTCCAGCACAAGGACAAGTACTTTGCACATAAAGCCTCGGGAGATCTGAAACGAATGCACGTGCCACATGAAGGGCACGACAGTAAATGCACATGAGTAAGTGGAGAGAAGTGCTACAGCATGAAGAGAAAATGTATGCAAACTTATTTGGAATAATAGTCTGTTGTGACTTAGTACAGGAACTGGTTTACTTGAGGCGATGAGGTAACAATCTTCATCCTCTGGTGGTCATATGGAGATGAAAGATGAGTCACAAATAAATACTAAGTAGCAAAATATAGATATGAACGCAAGTACATCGGCGGACTAGATCAAGAGGATGATGAACCAGTACGTTCAACCAAGTGAAGATTAAAACCCAGATTAAATAACAACGTAGAATAAATGATTTCAACTGTCCATTCCAATTTTTAGCAGTGAAAAAAATGCTTATATTCCAAATATACGATATGTTTTAAAATTAGATGGCATCCAATGATGATTTGAAGCTCACCAAAGAAAATTAGATAGCTTTACTCGGCATGACCAAGTAATCCCGCTCAGTCATGGTGCATTGGCCTACGATCATGGCCTACACATAATATTATACGAGACTTCAAAATAATACTGTTAAGCAATAAATATTGATAATGTATTTACAACTGGACCCGATCACGAGTAATCTATTGACTGAGACTCCACAAAACTAAAATTACCGATGCCTCGTAGTTCCATATGAAATTACAATAATGAGTATAATTTTTCGCTCCCTTCACAGTAGGGAGGCGTAAACTATAAACCTAGAATAAAAATAAATCAAGTATTGCGCACATAAAATTTCTAGTGATTAGCGAAGCAAAACTCGCAAAAAATACACATTGTACATTAGTCTTCAGGAACATCCGGACAAGCAGAATCCCTTGGACGGTTCACCCGCTGTGCCCAGTTGCACCGTGTCTGGTAGAGGCACCGCCTCCTGGGTGACGAAACGTCGGTCAGTGACATGAGTTGAGAAAGGCGATGCAAGTAGAGGGAATACAAATGTAGGGAAATCGTGTAAGTTGAGGAAATGAAAGTTACGGTAATTATAGCTGAGATGCAAGTTACGCAATGAAATTGAGTCAAGCACATATCAATGGCGCAACCCTTCCATGCATGATGAAACAATCAAGAACAGAAACATGTCCACTGAAATCGATTACATAAATGCACCTATCAATTTTTTTTAATGCTGTTACGAGAATATTTGCTAAATGACTCAAGTAACAAAAATAATAAGTCCAAGATCAATCAATAGTTTTTTTGTTTTCATTTTACAAGTATCCAAAACCGAGAAAGGACTTTAGATAGATTAAATGAAGTCTTTGAGGAAATCATTTACTCTCATTCAGAAGATAGACCAGTATGTAGACACATAATAAACTTAGCACACTCGTATCGGAGAATCTGAACTATGTATTGTGAATATGCATTATGAATAGGCAAATATTTCTAATGCTCAACTAAATTTGAAATGTTCTCGGAGTAAAACGTGTGGTAAAAGTAAAGGAAATTTTTTCAACTATAAAGCACCAATAATGTCCTCCAGAAGAATTCTCTTGAATATAAACTTGAACGTCGTTTACAGTTCCTTGCTATTGCCCTGCAGACCTACCGTACCATCCCTTTTTCCCACTCATCGTTACCCTCACGAGAAATGACCCAGCAAGTTCATTAGTTATTCCAGTCAATTTCTTTATCTCTTAGCCAATCCTCCTGGGGGATAACATCGTCGTGCCTCTTGGCTCTCGTGATGAGGCGAAGCAGTCCCATCACACAGAAATTTCCTCCTACACCACGTAGACAGAAGAGAACAACTGAGTTCTGTCTGTCGCTCCAAGTCCGATGCTTCCTTGCATCCAATGCAGTTATCATGCACTCTACACGTTTAGGACAGGTGTTTAGTCTCCGTATGTGCCTTGTCTCAGGCGCATATGGGAGGTGCTCTCACCTGGGGCGCGTCCGTGCAGACGTAGCGCCTGAGGCAGGCCAGGAAGGCGCTCTCTACGCCTGTTGCGTCTTTGGCCGAAGTCTCGCAGTAGCCGAGGTCTCCGTTGGCAGTGCAGTAAGATTCCGCTTCTTCTTTTGTAACCGCTCGTGGCAAATCCAACTGAACGCAACACTTCAGAGTTATTAAGGTGAAAGAAGAGGCAATCAAGATTTGAAGAAGTTATAAAAAACCATGGACTATATAAAACCATCAATAATGCATCATTTTAAAGACATTAGAGGTCAAGACATGACAAATATTATCACAGCACCGCCCTTTAATTAGATTTTGGGTCGAACTAATAAATCACACAGTTTAACAAACAATTTTAAAAAATACATGGATTTTAAAAAGCGCAAACTCAGTGCGAAAAGAGAAGGGGATGAATATGAAGTATCAATAACAAACTATCAATAATCTATTTCGTGCTAGCCCAGACGTAAAATTTTCTTTCTATGAATTTTGATTTTGTTCATAAATGGGGAAACAGCTTGAATATTGTTAGCATATTTTAGATATGGAATGGACTGGTTGAGGTTAGTTAGTGATGCACTTAACAAAAAATACTGTAGCAATTCAAGCAATTTCTTGCCTCTTTACTTCTTAACACCAAAGAAACAAAAGTTTAAAAAGTCTAAGTTAAAGTATGTGCGCACCTTATTTCCCACAACCATGAAGGGAAAGTCGGCCTTTACATCAGCGTAATGAATGAATTCTCTGCGCCAGGTGTCGAGGTTCTGGAAGCTCTGCCTGTCGTCCAAGGCGAACGTGAGAAGACACATGTCAGAGCCGCGGTAGAACGGCGTACGTAAACTTTTGAATCGCTCCTGCCCCGCCGTATCCCATATCTGCAACGATAAAATTATCAAAACTAAAGTTTAACTTAGGAATGAGAAAGGAAAGTAGCAGCAATTGATGGACAGTGTTGGCGGTCTTGATGCAGAACTTCCATTCAAGGTTCAGACGATAATCAACACCTGAGGTTTGAGCAATAACTGATGATGCTTTGTTGCACTGTAAATGCAACAAATGCAATGTTGTAAATTTTCTAATTGGTTCTTGACAAACTTTAATTTGCAGTTACAAGAATGCTTGAAAATCGAGGAATATATCTTGGTAAACAAAAATTTAAGAGCGAATAAGTGAACCGATCAAATCAATTCATCATTACCGAGTTCAATGCAGTAATAACAAAAATTTCCAGCAGCAGTACGTTTATAATACTAGTTCACAATTGATATTTCGGCCAAAAAGTTTCCAGTAATTGCTGGCTACGCTGCACTCATGAAAATTGAATCAATTCACATATAGATTCGTTCTGGCATTGAAGTAACGGTAAACGAGTACCGGTACTACCTACAATAAATACTAGGAATCAAGTTATTCCAAATATTAAAAAATATAACTCAGAACTCACTGCAGTGAGTGACAGAGAGCGCATTTTCTCGTCGACGAAAACTTGAGGTCACGGACAGACGGACGGACAGACAGACGGACATGGCGAGCACAATAGTGCATTTTTTCCATAAATGAGAAAATGTGCTAAAAAGCAAATACAAAATTTTATGTAAAGTTTGAGTAAAATAATTAATTTCTTTCATGCGGTAAATGTCTACCAAGACAATTAATACCAAAATTCCAAAAATCAGAACTGAAGGGTAAAATTACATCACATTCTAAATAAAGTACCTACTAGGTACGTATAGTATATGAATTTAGCCACGACATGGCCCACATTTGATAAGAATTCAACAAAAGGCTTGACAGGCACTACCTGCATCTCACAAAGATAATTGTTTCGGACACTAATCTTTTTTATAAAGGCTTCATCTTCTCAATCTAATGAAGTGCGCAACTCAAGATCACTGTTGTGTAGTTGTAATTGCCCATCCTTTCAGTGGCGACTAGGGAGTGGAATGATAGGTCAGATTTTCAGGGTACAATTATTAACCTAATTTTTCAGGGAAATCTCACAGGTTACTCTAGTTACAGGTACTAGTTCCTTACAGGTTAAAATGCTACTCTAAAACTGTACCTGCACCAAAGTCCATCACTAGTTAACCTACTACCAATTTATGTATGAGGTGGGAATTTCTAATGGGGAGGTCTCAACAAAATGGCCTTTGTTCAAGGTCCATTAGAAGTATGCTAGGCCCCACCTGACCTTTTCTATTTTTTAACATAAATTTGTTTGAATTTTAAGGTAGCTTCAACACTTTTTGCTTGTTTCCTATGATATAAGTTTTGACAACTTCAGCACATGGACCACATGGAACACAATCAGGATGCCCACAAGTTGCTATGAAAATATTGTTATTCCAGAATTTGGATGATTTTAATGGGAAGGCTGCACACTAGCCTACTAGGTACCATACTTAACAAAATTTACATTCAAGAGCAAAATTTCATCATATATACGCACCTACCTAATAGAAAATGTGTAATTTATACTACAACATAGGGTGAAATAATTACCAATATTTGACAAAAAACCAATACCGTAATAAAAAAAATTCAAATACCTTAATCCTATCTAATCATGAAGTTACAAAAGCCATTATAAAATGCATTAAAAATTTGACATCTATGAATAACCCATAGCATGATACTGACCTGGAGGGAATAAGTTTCTCCATTGAGTTCTATTTCTTTACTGAGGAACTCAACACCAATTGTGTGGAAGGAGTTCTCGTCAAATCTGTCTGACACGAATCTGTTCATCAAGCAGGATTTGCCAACACCGCCATCACCAAGTATCACCACCTGCACAATGAAACCATAGCTTACAACATGTAAGATACATTGATGGTGATCAGCTTTAAATAAACTTATGATAATCAAATGCAGAGCCTATGTGTATATATTAAATTGAAATTTCATTAGTAGGATCTAAATGTTTAGTGATTTATCCATTCATAACCATCATTATCATCAACTTGCAGAATTATTGAATTGTTCATTGCTCGAAGCTTTTCATTGTTGAATGCACTTTAATAAAAACATAGGTTTAAAAATAATGTGACTTGTAATGGTAATAGTTTACACTAGTAGGACCAGACAAAAATGGTTATGCATAAGTTTTATTTACTTCAGACATCTTTCCTACTTTTAAAAATTGAAGCTACAAATAACAATTGATTGATTTACCGGTCCCATTAATAGTTAGTAGAGTAAAAAGTTTGAAATTCTGCAAGATTGATACCTATGTAAATACCGGTAGATGCAAAATTTCTGCAAAATTTTAATCATTTTAATCTATATACATAAGCCATCATCAAACTACTGTTCTCATATCAAGAAGTCTCCTTCAATGATCTAAAATTAAAATAGCCACTATTTTGGATTTTGAATTGTATACCTACATAAAATATTTTTTAAGCCATGTTCTCAAGGTCTCACCTTAAGAACAGTACATCTTCCTCTGCTCTTGGTCCGTCTGTGATTGGACATGTTATGATTTCAACCTTATCTAAGTTAAAAAAATGATTAACAAACATTTAAAATATAATTCATTACAAAAAGTTGTATACATACTTTTCAACAAGGCTGTGGCTTAGACAGTTGTTATGAAGGAATTTTTGATACAATTTTAAAGAACATTTCCCAACTTTTCATCAATATATTTGTACTTCTATGTAGATTCAACTCCACATTGACAGCCTATGATCAATATATAAAAAATCTGTATATACCATCAAACGGGGTAAAAAGGGATGGTTTTGAGAGTTTTTTGTTAATAACTTCTTACCATGAAACATTTCAGAAACAAGTTTAGGCTCATTTTATAGCTCTTTGCGAGGGCTATCCAATGGCATCTTCAAAAAAATTCCATATGCTATTCATAAGGTGCCAGATGCAAAATAAAACCGTCCCGATTTACCCCTCAAAGCGGGGTATTCCAGGACACTTGCAATAAAAGTTAATTTTAAAACGTTTGAAGCATGCAGAGTGTACTCATCCATTACTAACAGTACTTTGAAGTCCTCCTCTTTCATTGTAGATGATGTAGATGTAAAATAAATGACATTTTCTGTGATTTTTACTTGTTTTTCCTTTATTGATATTATATTACCATATTCATATTGCTGTATTATTAATGTGATATTACTGTATCCATGGACATGCCATTGAGCATTGACAGCGACCTTGTCCACTGCAAGCAGCCATGTAGCATTTCTTCTGTATCTGTAAGCTTACAGGATGGTTTGTAATTTTGCACAATTTTAATTGAGTCAACTTAGTCAAGTGATTTCACTATAACAAAAAAGATAGTGAAAAACATACCTGAAACAGAAAATAATGTTTTATTAACAACCATCATATGTTTTGGATAAATAAATCATAGTTTAGGTCAATTACTTTGCATTCTATGATGCCCGGTGCACAATTCTATATATAGCATTCTATGTACAATTTTGTGACGAATGTTGATGCACTAATTTTTCGATAAGTAAATTTTTTTTTGCTGAGCGAGGTAAATGTACTCAAAATTCTTTGTTGTTAATCAACTTTTTTGTTAACTGGAACCTTTGCTAACTGAGGTTCTACTGTAAATGCATTTTTAAGGGTGTCCCTAATTACCCTGGGGGGGTGTCACGAGTAGCCCTGCTGTGCGGAAATGGCTGCCATTTTTTTTAATAAGATAGGCAAATTCCGTAAATTATGTTTTCAAGCCGACACCTGGGTGCAACTTTTATGTAAGTAAAATTTTTTAATACAGCGAATGTTTTTTTTTTTGCTCCAGACCTTAGCAGAAGTACTTTTCCAAAATCGCACTTTTCACACCTTTTTTCAGCGATTTTTTAAAGATAGTAAATGTTTGATTTCTTGACTAGCTTTATACATAATAGATAGTAAAAATGTTGAAGTTTACGCCACTATTTTTAGTTTTGCAATATTTTGATTAGTTTAGCTTCTACAACATTTCTACGAAATGTCGGAGGCACGCCCCGATATACCCGGCCCGTCCCTTCTTACCCCGTTTGACGGTATATGGGGGGGTTGGGAAGGGAAAAACATGCAAAAATGGAAGAATGTGCATAAAAGGAAAATGATGATGAAAAGAAAAAATGGGGCTCTTGAGCTGCTAGATAATTTTGTAACAAATCGAATGAAATGTCTCTTGATATTGAAGCATGTGATTTGCAAAAGTTATACACTTTTCAAAGTAGCCCATTTTTTGCCATTTTCTATTAATTTCAAGTTTTTTTCATTTTTATGGAAAAATCATACAAGCAAAATATTCTTATTTTTATGGTTTATGTATGTGTGTGAAATTTCAGAAAGATCCGTTGATAAATTTAGAAGTTTTTCTGGACCCGAGCCGGTCCCCTTCAAGTCAGGGTTGCACTGGGCACGTGCTCAGGGAGCTGCCCACCTACCCACCTGAGCTGAGCTTTTCAACATAAAAAATCCAAGATCTTTTATAAAAAAAGGTAAAGGTGGGTTTTAAAGAAAACTAAAGATTGCATCAAATCAATTTTATAATTTTGAACTTATTGATTTTTTTGTTAACTGAGATTCTACTGTAAACGCATTTTTAGTGGTGTTCCTTATTATCCCAGGGGCAGGGAGGTGTCCCTTATTGCCCTGTCATGCAGAAATAGCCACCATTTTTTTTTTGAAAGAGCTATGCAAAGTCTGTCACTTACATTTTCAAGCCAACACTTGTCTCCAACTTTTATGTAAGTAAAACTTTTTAATGACAAATTTTTTTTTTTGTTACTGACCTTATCAGAGCAGAGGTACTTTTCCACACACTTTTCTTCAGGGAGGTAGTAAAGGTAGTAAATGTACTTTTATTTTTTTGAAGGTATTAAATGCATGATATCTTAACTTGCTTTTTGCTAAATAGATAGGAAAAATGTTGAAATTTACAACACTATTTTTAGTTTTGCAATATTTCAATTAGTTCAGCTGCCACAACATTTTTATAAAATGTTGGTGGACTGTCCCTTATTACCCTGCCTGTTCATTACTACCCATTTGAGGGTATCTATTAGGCTTTCTTGAACAAATAACAGTCATCTCATATGTATACTGCAAGCCTCTATAAAAGCCTGGGGTAAACACACCATATTCCGACACCAGCAATGATGAAATGTCAACAACTGTTGCCATATTTATTTAAAAGCCTTTAGAATTCAAATCTACAAAATCACTGAATTCCAACACTGTATGTGACTAAATGCGGCATATTGTGAGACTAATTCCAACAGCGCTTCAAAATTGTAATTCCGACACCCTGTATAAGCTGTGTCGGAATACGACACCCTGTGTCACGGCTGTGTGTTGTAATTCTGACACCATGTCAGAATTAGTTTTTATCTGAATAAAACCGTCTCTTAAATCAATCATCTATTAATTTATTTACCACTTAAAATCAGCAAATACAACTATACTTAAAGGATTCCTAATATATTCACAGACTTATTTAAAAGTCTCAAACCATAATATTCTTTCCACACAAACAGTTTATCACTATTTAGTAAAGCAAGGTGAACTATCAACTTTGATACTTGTTTCGATGTTCTCACTAGTTGACTTGGACTTTCTCTCTGCAGATGTTAACATTTTCCCGCAAGACCTAGTGTTTTGCAGAAATGTGGCACGCAATAGTATGATGTCACTATTTCAACCAAGTTTCAACGCATGCGTGGAACTAAGACCAAGCTTAATATAAAGGAAAAAGTTGAGGGGTGTTGGAATTATTCGCAGTGTTGGTCTGTCGGAATATGGTGTGCTTACCCTAGTGTTTTATGGAAATCTGGTATGCAATAGTACATCCACATCACTATTTCAACCATCTGTGCATGCGTGGAACTAAGACCAAGCTTAATAGGGTAAACGCGGTATATTCCGACACTTTAAGGACGCATCGAGAAATGAAAAACTATAAAAAAAACGTATGCATTACGTAAGTTCTGTTGCCTATTTCGACACGCAAATGTATGACGTCACCATTTCAACCATCAATGACGCATGGAACTAAAACAAAGCTTAATATAAAGGATAAACTAGAGAAGTGATGGAATTACCTACGATGTCGGAATATACCGCGTTTACCCTATAAAGGAAAAGGTTGAGGGGTGTGGTGCCCGTGTGGATTACTCATAGTGTCGACGTGTCGTAATATGGTGTGTTTACCCTACATTAATCTGAGTCCTAGAAAATTCCAATTTCTATGCATTATAAGTTTAATAAATGATACTAGCTTCCATAACTTGCTCCAAACTCCAAAGTCATTTAGAACCTATCACAAATTCACAATAATATTTTGAATTTGAAATGTGGCATGACTGGCATCCATGATCCTTCATATGTTGTATCAAAGCCATTTTGCAAATATGTCTGAATTCTTTGGTTTGAATTCTTAGTAAATTTTTGTCACATAATAGCTAAAAAAATAGTTTTATAGAACTACCTACGGTAACCTACCGTACCTACCTATTACTTAACTTAGTTGTAACTATTTCAGGTATTATTGCAGATTAACTACATCCAAAAAAAAAGGGTGTTTTTTTTTAATTATATGTTTTTTGGGTGTAGATTACGAATCTGAAATCCATTTTTGGCGGTCGGCATCGGAAAACCGATTTTTTTCAGTCGGAAAAAAATCGGTTTTCCGATGTCGACCGCCAAAAATGGATTTCAGATTCGTAATCTACACCCCAAAAAACATATAATTCAAAAAAAAAACACCCTTTTTTTTGGATGTAGTTAATCTGCAATAATACCCTATTTCATATCAAACCTACCTAAAATAAAGATTTAATATAAACTTAAACATTTGTGTTAATTTAGGTACCTAATTTAAATAGTGTAGCTTCTCAATAGCATAGCTATGTTGGCACCATAGAGATTTTCAGCAAATCCACTTGTCTCCCATTGACCCATTCCCTGCACTTCCGTCTTCCAGCTAGTGACACTCACAAAAGGTATTAAAGGACCAAGGGCAAGGGGTAGCATCAGCCCATCAGGATGCTCTCTGTGAGTCAACTCCTTAACAATAAATGCACCTAAGTACTAAGTTAGCATCATCCACAGTCCACACCCAACATTCAACAACACAGCCTCCTTACTCCTTAGTCTGGACTCCAGACTGACCAGTCTGGCAGTCTCCACTCCAGTCCACTGAGAGTCCACTCTCCATTCAGTACATTGCTGAGCTCCAGAGGCCGAAGGACAAGGAGGGCCAAACCCTGAACCAGCAAGGCAGCTGAAGTCTTCCAAGTTCCATACCTAAGTTATCCTAAGGCTGCAAGGCAACCAAAAGAATCAACAGTCAGCACTCAGCCCCAGCCTCTCTTCAGTGAAAAATCAAAATTAGCTAGGTACTAGTAACTACAACAAAATGAACCAACGAACTGAAAAAATTACTGAGCCATGACAGACTGGCATACCCAAACTTCAGAGGGAGAAAGCCAGTCGTGTTGGTAAAACTGTTTTTAATTAACAAATAGTGAGATTTTATTTCATAAATTAAAATTTCGATTGCAAATGACAATATGAAAACGGATTTTGACTGTTAGAGAGCGCAAGATCGTACACATGCTTCCGCAATGAACACAACTGACTTTCGCAATGGTGATTGCGTCGTAGTATGATGAAAACAGTACAAGCGCAACAAGCCGTGAGAAACAGTTGTGGCACGGAGAACCGAGAAAAATCAAACAAGCTTTGCAACATAAAACGTATATCT